AGGATTGAGTGGGTATATCACATCCCCTATCATGTACCAGCCTCTGGGAAAATTAAAAGGTATAGTGGACTGTTGAAGACTACACAGAGCAGTGGGTGGTGGGACATTCAAACATTGGGATACACACTTAGCAAAAGCCACCTGGTTAGTCAATACCAGGGGATTTTCCAACTGCCCAATCAAACATCAGACCTTTATGTACTATAGAAGAGGATAAAGTCCCTGTAGTGCACATAAAAAAGTGTGCTGGATAAAACAGTCTGGGCTATTCCTGATATAGGCAAAGGCAACCCCATCCATGGGACTGTTTTTGTTCAAGGACCTCAGCACACTTACTGGATAATGTGGGGGGATAGGGAAGTCCAGTGTGTACCTCGAGGGGATTAGATTCTGAGTGAGAATAGCCAATATTTGAATTGTATGTTAACTGCTGTACAATAATGTATGCCACTACTATGGTTGCTATCAGCCATATCATCAGTATTGCAATGAAAAATATCCAGATTAATGAAGAATGAATTTTGATGTAACTGGTCAAAGTGCAGTGATAAAAACAGAACTGGTCTCATTGTTCAACAATCCAACACCACACACCATCTTTTCTGCCCAGAAAGACTACTATGACAGATGGAGCCAAAAGTTATCAATTACATGAGCTCAAGTGATATGTTAAAAGGATGGATCATAGACTAAGAGAACATTTGTGTGTACATATCAAAAGACAAGAAAGGATGTAAAGTGTAGGAAATGGACATAATACAGATGCTGTAGAAAAAGTGGATATTATAGTGGTTTCAGAAGGAACAGACAATTTTTTTCATAGTAAAAGATATACTGCTGTGGTTTAGATTTAGGATGAGAAGAATGTAAATAACACATTGATGTTTTAATTGTTGCTAAAGAGTGTTTACACGAAGTAAAGGATTTTTCAGCTTCTCACATCTACAAACCAGAGAGTAGACCTGGGAACAAAAGAAGACAGAAGGAGACACAGACAGAAAATACCAGGCTGAAGGCATGAGCTATGAATGTCCATATAATTCCTTCGATAGCTCAACTGGTAGAGCGGAGGACTGTAGGCTCCTTGCACGGCCATCCTTAGGTCGCTGGTTCAACTCCGGCTCGAAGGAGTGCCCTTTTGGCCCTGGAACACACCCTGTGGCACCTCTGCCTTTTGGCCCTGCCTGCCCTTCAAGGCCCACACAGCCTTCAGCTCTTGCCCTTCCTGAGGAAGAGGAACCAAGCAAGGCAGTTCTGGTGAACCCTGGGCACGGGACGGTGGCCCCTGTGCACCATCAGGGGTTTTCAGTATTCACCACCAGCAGCAAAGTGGTTTGGTGGCTGGGATGGTGGTAGTCAGGTGGATGGGAGACACAGGCTTTGGCTGCTGGAGAGGCTGGGTCAGGGCTGTGTGCCTGGGAGGGGAGAGAACCTCAGGGCAAGGCCATGGGCTGGGGAATTAGCTCAAGTGGTAGAGCGCTCGCTTAGCATGTGAGAGGCAGCGGGATCGATGCCCGCATTCTCCAGAGCTTTTTCTTCCTTTGCCTGGTCACAAGGCCTTTTGTTGGGAGCTTTCTGGGGACAGGGTGATGTGCCCAGGCTATACGGAGGAGGATGACATCAATGGCTGCATTAAAAGTTCTCAGGGAAGTTTCATAGAGGGAACTGATTTTCTACTTTGCTTGACAACCATCAGATGTCATTTTCAGCACTGTGTCCAGGTTTGAGCTACCCCATGGAGGAAAGATATGCATGAAATGGGAGCATGCTCACCGCAGGGCCTCCAAAAATGCCACCAGGGAATGGAGGTACTTCTCTTTGTGAATGGTTTCAGGACAGTGGGCATCATCCACTAGGAGATACAGAGGTTCAGAGGGTTTAAGTATGTTTTTTCTCCTCTCGTAGGAGCAGCTTATGGACTCAAGGAATATCTGTCCATTTGCCTGGAACTTGATGGGAGGGCAAAAGGCAGTCCAGTGACAGTGAATCAAGGGCAGCCGGAAAAGAACTTAAGGATGGCGATTTTGGAGTTGAGGAGAATCCGTGTGCTGATGACATCCCAGGAGGTTGTGTACCTATTCTGTTTGTGGATTTGGACGATGCGATGGGCTAAAGGGCTGAGCAAGTGTTGTGAGAATTGAGCCAAGGTTGTTTGAGTCAGGCTGTTGGAATGGAGGCATCATACTGCACTGCATCTTGGGCAGTTTTGGGTGAGCGTGTGATGGGGGAGGTCCTGGGCATGCCCCATGATTCCTTCGATAGCTCAGCTGGTAGAGCGGAGGACTGTAGGCTCCTTGCACGGCCATCCTTAGGTCGCTGGTTCAACTCCGGCTCGAAGGAGTGCCCTTTTGGCTCTGGAACACACCCTGTGGCACCTCTGCCTTTTGGCCCTGCCTGCCCTTCAAGGCCCGCACAGCCTTCAGCTCTTGCCCTTGCTGAGGAAGAGGAACCAAGCAAGGCAGTTCTGGTGAACCCTGGGCACGGGACGGTGGCCCCTGTGCACCATCAGGGGTTGTCAGTGGTCACCAGCAGCAGCAAAGGGATTTGGTGGCTGGGATGGTGGTAGCCAGGTGGATGGGAGACCCAGGTTGCTGGAGAGGCTGGGTCAGGGTTGTGTGCTTGGGAGGGGAGAGGACCTCAGGGCAAGGCCATGGGCTGGGGAATTAGCTCAAGTGGTAGAGCGCTCGCTTAGCGTGTGAGAGGCAGCGGGATCGATGCCTGCATTCTCCAGAGCTTTTCATTCCTCTTGCCTGGACACAGGGCCCTTTCACTGGTATCCAGTTTCTGTGGGAGCTCTTGGGATCTTACTGTGTTCCAAAAGGAGCAAAACATTTATGGATGTACCAGCACAGCAGTAACAGATGCATTGGTATAGGCACAGCTAAGAGATTATTCCTCTTTGTTTTCAGTCATTAAAGAGTGTTCAGTGTTTTGTGGCATTCTCAAAGCTCTGTGTAATCTGTGACAGAGTTTTTGATGTACTTTTTTTTGGTCTTTTGAATATACACTCTCAACGTGGATCTTTTAAAACTTCTGAAGAAAACATGTTATCTCTCTGCATGTTACTTCGTCAGCCTTGAAAGCAGATGTCAAAGTACAATTTAAGTTGTTATGCCAAAAATTTTTCTGAAGATTATTTTTGTAGAGTATTGAAGATAAAGAGATCTCCTTTGAAATTCTGCTGATTAGAAAAGCCTGTTAGCTTTAGTCCTTGATAAATTAGGTTGTGGCAAACTTTAAATAAACGTACGGAGAGGTACCTCTGTCATGTTTATTAAAAAGTGAATTTTGCCCTTGGCTGTGGTAGTATGATTAATACTGACTTAATTATTAATGGCAGGAAACTCAGAATCAGGTGTTGCTGGTTTCATACCCTGTACTAAATAATGCCAGTTCAGCAGCAGATTTTTGGATTAGCATAAATTAAAAGATAATTAGAGCAAATCTATGAGACTGACTCATCATTTTATCTTGCAAATATTTACAGCTACTCCATTAAAAGTGAATCCCTCTGACATTTCCACTTTAGTCAGAAGCAGTCTCTTTTTTTTTATTTATAATTACGAATAAAGATGGATAAAGCATCACTGTCATTTTTGCCGTAGATCACTTTGTAAATCATCTGTATTCATTTTCACCATTAAATAAAGTTAATTCCATACTATATTCTTCCATGACATCTCTGTCCTCTGTGTATCAAAGAAGGCCTCCTTTCCAGAAAATTAAACATAAAAGCAACAGGAAGACATGAGGTTTGATGCGGAAGATGGATTCTGCAGCCAAATTATACTACAGGGACACAGAAGGTTCAAGTCAGGAGTGAATTTGATACTGTAGGAAGTTTATTGCCCAGTGGTACAGTTATGCAAGACAAGAGAACCATGAGATGTTAACAGTTTTCCTTCTATTGTATGAAGAGTTTGAACATTCACTTCTTCATTCACCTCCTCTCCCACCTTTAAGAAGGGATGGCAGGAGAGGTGCAATTTGTTCAAAACCACACAGGACAGACTCCCAGCAAAATTCAAGCTAAACAATGATGCAAGTAGATGCATTTCACAAGCCTTTTTTTTAGTTCAAATATATTCTTACATTTGATGGGAAAAGCAAGCTGTGTTGAAGTTTGACTGGTAACACAGTTCAACTAACGAGACCCAGAATGTAATAAAAATTTTACTACATTTATTAAACCTGTAAGTAAGCATCTGGCGTATTTCAATGGCAAAACCATCTATTTCATTCATGACATTTAAAGTTCTTTCAAAAGATTTAACAGATTTAAGAGCAAAATGACCCATAGAATCTTCTAGTCTTACTTCTAGGTCTTGCTACATTTCAACAGTAAGTACTTTTCACCAGTGTAGTAACTCGTGTTTGAGTAAAACTTGAAGTCTTCTCTTTCCATAGAGAACCTCCCATTTCCTGTGCCAGTATGTTTCAGTGGTTAGTTTTGCTCACTGTTAAAATCATATGTTTCCTTTTCAGCTCAAATTGCTTTTAGATTCCAATCACTGGTTTTGGTTACGCGTGCCTTCATAGTGATGAACTCTCCCACATCTGACATTTTTCCCCTTCAAAGACATTACACACTACAATCAAATAATCTATCAGTCTACTTTTTATGGCAAGATAAATTGATCTAATTCCTTATGTCTCTTACCCTAGTTCTTCAATTATTACAGCATTTTTCTGCATTGGCTTCTCAACATACTCCAGGAGAAGATGTTAACACAAGAACTGGGTACAGTATTCAAAACCCACACTTTGCAAGCATAGTCTGTGTTAGGGTTAAAACATTTTTGATGAAGCACACGGATTGCTTGTGGGATGAAATCAATAGATACCCATTGCATCATCTCTGATTCTATTCAGGCTCATGGGGAAGAAAAACATTTTAACAATGAATGTCTACAGTGCAGGCAACTCAAAAGGTTTCACCATCCTAATCATGCCAGACATATGATCATTTTTAGACATGTTGCACAGCAGATTTCACATACCTGTAGGACTTCTTAATCTCATCATGTGTTGCTCCCTTCTCTAGGGCCAGGATTTCATATAGTGCTTCCCCTGATGTTGACAAAGCACGTTGCCTTTGTTCAGCCATGTCAGCAGTGCATTACCAACGCTGCGAATGTAGAGCAGAATTTTAAATACCAGGGACTGCAAACATGTATGGATAGTATTTTTACTTTTTTTTATTCACAATTTTTATATATTTACATTAAAATTTACATGTTAATAGATTTTAATCATGTAGTAGAATGTTAAAAATAAATGAAAATGAAAGGAATAAAATCTCCTCTAAGTTATTCTCTGTCCCTTGAGATATTTTAGTTATTTGAGAAAATGTAAAAGCAAGAAACAAAGAACAGAAGCTTTTGTGTTAAGTATCATTGTTCATAGTAAAGGTTTGATGTTATTCTCACTGAAATCAATGGCTAAATTTCCTACAGCATTAATGCCTGAACATACCATTTTCGTCTAGTTTTACTTGTGGTTGTTTACTTACATCTTTTCTACATCTTAGAAGTATAATTCTACTATTTGTTAAAGCTATTGGACTTCAGTGAGGTAAGACCTTTGTACCTCTGAGTATAACCTAATACATCACAGTGGTGAATATTTGATTTCTCAACACAAGGACTCATATTCAGCCTAACCAATTTTAGGTGCCTAAGTTGAGTGGTTAAGTTTGAAGCTTAGTCAAACTAGACTCCTTATATTGCCAACAGATAGAAAGACATTCTCGGAGCACAACTGATCAAGCACTTTCTCCTTTTTATCTTTACAGCATGCTCAGGATGATTGAATTCCCAGGTCATGTGCCTGAGGACAGGTAGAATGAATCTGGACCCAGGCAACGAGACTGGATACCAAGAATTGACCTCAGTATTATTATTATTGCAGCAAACTGATGCAATAAACAGCAAATACTGTTCCCAAACAACTGGGAAATACTGACATCAACCAAGATCCTATCTTATTTGAGAGACAAGACTTTGGGCTGAATTCATGAGCTTGTGATAAATTTAACAAGATGCCCTTACAGTAGAGTTCAAATAAAGACTAAGCACGGATTTAGTCCACTTCAGATCCATCATTCATTCCTTCTTTCATCACAGAAGCAAAGCAGACAAGTGATTCTCTACTGAGTGGCTCTATTACCTCCTCACAGTTCATCCTTCTCGATGTGAAGAACCAAATGTTTTTAAACCAGACCTAACTAATGCTAGGCAATGACATGAAAAAACTTACATAAAGCATAATTTAAATCACCAGATACAGCTATCTATCATTCATTAGAAAAAAGTTGCAGCTCTTTGATGGTAGACTTGTCACAACAAAACTCTCACCACCACCTCTTTTTTTCTTTGTATGTTGCACCCTTCTCTAAATGTTGAGAAGTGATCACAGATGTTAAAGCTGTAATCCCAGCCATAAGAAAAAAATTTCTGAGGAGCTGTTTTGTTAGATAAGACTACTCACTCTGCTATTTCACCCTTCTCATTGCTGAGCTAGAAACACTATCTTGCCATTATTCATATATTATTTACTAGGCCACATTTTAGTTCAGAAGCAGCCAGCAGTTCAGATAACACTTCTTTAATTTTGTTCAACCAAATATCATGTAAGTATACACAGAAATATAATCCACAGAGTAATTCTGTCACATACTGCCTGATTTACTAAAGGGCAGAAATTTATTCCTATTTACTTTGATTTTTTTTTAATAAGGTAGTGCACAATTTAAGGTCTTGGGATCTGGTGAAAAAAAAAACCTAATAATCCTTTCTACTTTCAAGTGTTGCAGAAACCATCAACTAAATGGACTGAGCTTGTTCGTATAAAAAGCCCCAAGAATTAAGAATGAAAACATATACAAGCATCTAAATATTACTTTACCACCTACAGTAGTTACAATGCTATTTATTAATAATGGTATGTCCAGACGATATTTAACATAATCCTGGAGTATGTCCTGATCACACTGGAATTATGCAAGGCACCTCAAGCCTTTTAATGCACAAGATAACACTGGGCAACCATGTGAAGTCACAGATATAGAGTGTTATTTAAAAACTCTGTTACATAATGCTAATTAGCTACATGGCAACCCTGAAGCATAAAACAAAATTAAAGTTATGATAGATTTCATTCTGAAGAACTGAAAGCTGTGTAATTGTACTTTCTCGTTAAATAATTTTAATAACCTAGTCAGCTATGGAAATTTAAACTCACTTGCCTATTCAGTCTTCTACCGATTAATCACGTCAAAGGTTTAGCTACTCAAAATAATTTCTTACTTATTTAAAGCAGTCCTACAAAATACTGAAAGTACAATGAGATTACACCTCTCTAGAAAAAAAGTTAAGCTCTCTTTATTGGAAAAAATACAGTTTTAGTTACGATTTTAGTACTAAATACACTCCTGATGGCTGAAATGACATTGGAATCCTATTTTTAAGCTGTGCATTTTTGTTCCAGTAGAACAGAGTAAAGAAGATGTTGTTTTCTTCCTTGAATGACAATAAAATATATTAAAAGACAATCCAAATTCTAGTAACAATTCCACATCTCCTGAGAGAATGGGACCCCAGTTAACTTCAGCTGTTTCTATACAAATTTTATACTAGCCATGATCAACTATCTTATACCGGGGTTGTAATAATATGCCTTTCTTATACAATACCCATAATTCATTTGGATTTGTGCTGAAAAATAAGGCAAGGTGATTCAGATAACATACCTGCTTCAAAAAGTGATGGAACACTGACTGGTGTGTATAAACTCACAACATTTTCCATTCAATACCTTGACGTCTTTATGCCAATATAATCCAAAAAGAAAGAAGCAAGTTCCTCCAGAAACCCTGTTCCACAGAAAAGGGCTGCTGATTTTCATCCTTCATCCTAATCAAGGTGAAAAAGGTTAGTGGAGTCTGATTACTCCTTTTGTTTGTTTGTCTGGTATCCAATTGGTTATCTCTCAGGAAGATCTATGAAAGAATGAATAAAACATTCATGAGCCTAAAGGCTGATATATCCAAGAGTTAATGACACCAAAAAATATGGGACAACTGTGTATTTAGTTAGCTACTCTTCTGTGCTTTACTCTTGATGGGGTCTTGAGTTTGTTGTTTTTTTCCCCCACGCAAATGTATTAAATTTGTTTAAAGATACAATGGTCTTGCTCTAAAGTATACTTCTTTGAGACCAGCTATGGCCTGCTTAGGTTTTACTATGTGGTCTATTCCAGAACATGATTAACTGAAGAAGTCCCTTCAGGATTCCTCCTGAATTCTTGTAGATTTTTAAATCAAAATAGATGATGTAGGGTGCCTTCTTTTATTATGATGGAGCTTCTCCTCTAATTTATACCGTGAAAAAATCTGGAGAGCTACTCCTTTCCATTTAGAATAGAGAAGACTGTAAATGCCAGAGACTTAAAAAGCCAAGCGCTCTTGGTATGTCATCTTTGGAACCAAACAGTTCATCCTTTGAACTCAAAGAATTCATTTCCCAGATCATCCAATTCCAAATGATATGTTTGTGTAGTAGGCTGACCTTGGATGGCTGCCAGACCCTTACGCAGACACTCTCTCACTCCCCCTCCTTAAGAGAACAGGAAGAGAAAATAAGATGAAAAGCTCATAGATGAAGATAAAGATCACTTACCAGTTACTGTCATGGGCAAAACAGACTCAGCTTGGGGAAAACTGATTTAATTTATTGCCAGTTAAAATAGATCTAGTGAGAAACAAAGACAAAAGCAACACCTTTCCCTCACCACCATGTTTCCAGGCTTGAGTTCACTCCTTCATTCCCAACTTGCCTACCCCTTACCCTTGAGCAGCAAATGGCAGACAGGGCATGGTAGGTTGTGATGAGGTCATAACTGCTCCTCTCTGCTGCTCCTTCCTCCTCACACTTTTCTCCTGCTCCAGCATGAGTCTTCCTCATAGACTGCAGTCCTTCATGAACTGCTCCAGTGGGAGTCCTCCATAGGTCATGTTTTCTGTCAGAATTTGCTCCTGCATGGGCTTCTGTCCATGGATCACAGTTCCTTCAGGAAATATCCATCTTTTTGGCATGGGGTGGATGGGCTGCAGCAAAATACCTGCACCACAGTGGCCCTCACCACAGGCTGAATGGAAATATCTGTTCCACCATGCTCCCCTTCACAAGCTGCATAGGAATCTTTGCTCCAGTGCCTGGAGCACCTCCTCCTCTTCCTCCTCCTCTTTGACCTTAAGTGTTCATAGGGCTGTTCCTCACACTTTCCCTCACTTCTCACTGCCAGTGTTCTGCTCTTTCTTAAGTCTGTTTTCGCAGAGGTGCCACCAGCTTGGCTGATGGGCTTGTCTGCATCCTGTGGTAGGTCTGTCTTGGAGCCGGCTGTATCCAGTCCCTGACCCTTCAGTGTTCCAATACTGAAATCTTGTCATGAAGCCCCAGTGCGTTTTGTGTGGACTGAAGTCCTGTAAATGGATTCATGGAACGCCATAATCCATTAAAGTCAGTGAGTTTGTGCTTGGATTCCACTGCAAGACATAAAATCAATAATATAAATCAATATGAATCATAAATAAATCAATATGAAAAAAATCCCTAACAACAAAACAACAAAACCAAACAGGTGTAATTAGTTACAATCACATAAAGACACTACAAATGGAAAAGGAAGCAACAGTGTGACAGCTGATAAAAAAAAAAAAAGTGAAGTGGATGCTTTTTTAATGTGAAGCATGTGATTTTAACATTTCTCTTGTTCTTAGATATTCTCTTCAATTTCAAATATTCCCTCAAATTTCAGCTTTGGATGAGGACAAGGCAAGGCACATTTCAACCTAAAATGGGAGTGTTTTTCGTAGTTATGAAAAGTCAAAATATCGAAGTCAAAATATCTTTTTCAGGACATTCACAACAGAGCAGGTAAAGCTAATTCGATTAAGTTGTATGAGCACAATAAACCAGACTATTCAATGTACTTGCTTGATGCCAATCTCTGACATGATTTTACCATTCTTGCAAAATGCAATAAAAGTACACTTTTTAATGGGAGGAAGAAATTAAGGGGAAAAAAATATAAAAGGAAGAAAATAAAATCGCTTTAGGTTACCCAAATCCTCTGTATGTATATACAGTTTATCATCAAGAAAACGTCACTGTTCTGCAATCCTGTCACAGACCTAGACTCCCAGTTCCGTGTGAGCACAGCTCCCTCTGGTGTATGAAACTCTCACTGCTCTGTAATGTGTTGCTTCTTTCGTTTGAAGGAAGCAAACAGAGTTTCTGTAAAACTGTTTATTTTCCTTTGGGGATTCTATGCCTGTCGTGGTTTAAGCCCAGATGGTAACTCGGAACCACTCAGCCGCTCGCTCACTCTGCTCCTTTTTTCCCGTCCCGGAGGGGTGGGGAGGAAAACTGGAAGAATGTAACTCCCATGGGCAGAGATAAAAACAGTCCAGTAACTAAGGTATAACACAAACCACTGCTGCTACCACCAATAATAATAAGAATGATAAGGAAAATAAAAAGGGGAGGGAATATGAAACTAAAAGGGGAAGAGGAAAATAAGGCAATAAACGTAAGTGGTGTACAATACAGTTATCACCACTTGCCAACTGATACCCAGCCTGACCTGAGCAGTATCACAGTATGCTAGAGATCTGGGCCCAGTGGGCCCAGTGATCTGGGCCTTCCAGGTAACTCCCTCCAGTCTCTATACCAGGCATGACATGCTGTGGCATGGAATACCCCTTTGGCTAGTTTGGGTCAGGTGTCCTGTCTCTGCTCCCTCCCAGCTTTTTGTACCCCTCCTCACTGGCAGAGCATGAGACTGAAAAGTCCTTGATCAGGGTAAGTGCTACTTAGCAACAACTAATACATCAGTGTGTTATCAGCATCGTTCTCAGACTAAAGCCAAAACACAGCACTCTGCACCAGCTACTAGGAAGGACTAAAATAACTGTTACAGCTGAACCCAGGACAATGTCCTAAGCATGTTCTAATGAATCTTCAAAATACTCAAGCTTTAATTAGTTGTCATAACTCTTTCATCAATCAGATCAGCTATATGATTAGAATAATAAAACATATAATTTAATACCTGATCATTCTTGTCATTTGGGGTGTTTTTTTTTGCATCATAACACCTAACAGTGCACCACACCACCACTGTGGCAGGAAATGCAAAACTAAAATAAAGCCCTAGTCCCAAAAGACCTTATGTGTAAAAAGCCTTACACTTTACATTTCATGTATATGTTGCATGCATTTCAAAACAGACAAATCAGAACATGACTGAAAATGCAAAATTGCATATCAGCCTATAAACATTTGAAACATGGCCCAGACAGAGCAGGAGGTCCAGGGTTGCTTCAGAAGCCTCCGGGTACACACAACCAGAGCTAAAGGTTGAAGAACTCTGAGTCACTCTAGTCCTTTCTCCTACCACTCCCTCCTTTTCCTGGCTCACAGCAAGTTCAGGAACTAAGGGCCTGGAGCTGAAAGGCATACATGCATGAAAGGACTGGCATCATTGCTCAACAGAGGTGTGAATTTTTAGCTTCCAAGGCAAGGAAAGACAATTTTTAAAAGTTGAATTGTTTTCTTAGTTCATTGAGTCTGGAGGTGTTACTATTGAAATCATCAAAGCATGTGGGAGACACAAGTGGTCAGACAAAGCACTTCTGACCTTCATGGAGAACCCATAGCTTCTGACTTTCTTCCAATAGTGACTGGAAAATAAAATCTCTGGTTTTACTCAGAGGATTTTGGGGCCTGAAATAAATGATCTTGCTTATCTAGGAAAGCCAGCTGGTTAAGTGAGGTGATCCTTTCCCTCTGCTCAGCGCTAGTGAGGCCACACCTGGAGTGCTGGGTTCAAACCAGGGCCCCCAGTACAAGAGAGACATGGGCATACAGGAGACACTCTAGTAAAGGACCATAAGGATAATGAAAGGATGGAAGCATCTCCCCTATGAGGAAGGGCTGAGAGAGCTGGGACTGTCCAGACTGAAGAAGAGTAGGCTCAAGAGTGATCTCATCAAAGTATATAGATACCTGAAGAGAAGGTGTACAGAGGATGGAGTCAGGCTTTTTTTTCAGTGGCTGCCCAGTGCCAGGACAAGAGGCAACGGGCACAAACACTGTATACTGTTCAGCCTGGAGAAGAGAAGTCTGTGTGGAGACCTCATAGCAGTCTTCCAGTATATGAAGGGGGACTATAAGGATTCTGGGGAGTGACTTCATTAGGGACTGTAGTGATAGGACAAAGGGTAACGGGTTAAAACTTAAACAGGGGAAGTTTAGACTGGATATAAGGAAGAAGTTCTTTAGCATGGCAGGGGGATTGGAACTAGATGATCTTAAGGTCCTTTCCAACCCTAACTATTCTATGATTCTAAACTGAAACATGGGAGATTCTCTTTGAACATTGGGAAACACTTTTTCACTGTGAGGGTTAGCAAACACTGGCACAGGTTGCCCAGAAAGGCTGTGGCATCTCCATCCCTGGAGATACTCAAAAGCCACGTGGACATGGTCCCGGACAACTGGCTTTAGGTGGCCCTGCTTCCTTTCCCCAAAACTTCCATAGTGTGATAACTATTACCACTAATTTTTGTGCCTTGTTTTGTCAAAAAGGTGGTAAGAACATTAACAATGATGTTGGAATTTATGGGTAACTGACAAGAGAAGGAAGGCAGGTGATGAGACTAAAACGAGCTCTCGTTAATGACTTTTCACAGGTGAATGACTGGCTGTCCAGAAAAGACCCACACAAATAAAGCATGAGGTTATGAGTAAAGAATGGTAGGCTGATGAGATGACAGAATATGCACCCTGAGAAAGGGCATATACAGGGGTAGCATGTGCTGGTTTTCCACTTTTCAGGCAGGATTTATCTTTTGTTTTATTTTTTAGTATTGTGCTATGGTGATGTCAACATTATAAGACCCAGATAAGCAAGTGACTCAAAGAGCAAAAGATTGAGCAACTGGAAAACGATGCTTCTGCAAGATGTGCTCGGCCTCTGGCTCAGGAATAGGCTCTGTTAAGCAGGGAAGAGTACTTCTGAGGCAGCTGTGTCCCAAAATGTTCTTCTTGTAATTTCTTTTTAGCCAGTTCTGCTTCACACACTCCTGGACATTTAGTGTCCTGTCTGAACGGTATTGCATGCTACCTGTCAATATTCAGTCTCTTAAAGAAGGGAGAATTGGTTTAAGATCCTTTCTTCCGAGTGAGACATTGTCAGACAAGCCTGACAATTCTACAGCAAGAAATTACATTCCTCTTGCCACATTTCTCTGTTACAGAATAGTTACTGTCATTATGGCCTCAAAAGTAATAAAAGAATTGATTTAAATAATACGATTGCATAGCATCCATTTTTAAATACATGTAACTATATTGGAAGGAAGGTATTCCATCTGGTAACCCATCTGTAACTCCATCTATACAAGTAAGTAACCATAAGAGAACATTCACATATTTGAATTCTCGGAACATATTGTGACCTTCTGTTACTACTCACATAGAATATCTCAATTGAAATACGTGGGGTTTTTAATATCTTTCAACAACTGCAATATTGGAAAAAAGTAGCAAATTCAAGAAGTATGAACCTTAAATGAACAGTCGTCAATTGTATATCCAAATTGCTCATGCTGTTATGTGGTCAGTTTGACCCAGAGAAGCAACGCAAAACTGACTTCCTACTTTATCTCAGTAAATCCAGTTCAAAGGCTTGGTGGACGACCTAGGTGACATGATATAAGCATTCTTTCCCTAGCATTTAAATTAGAGACTTAAAAATGATGTTTTAAGTAATAGTAATACACTTAACTTTTTCAACAAGATACTCAATGAAACACTGGGAAGTCTATTTTCCTCTGTGACTTACGAGAAAGTTCTGTCTATCCTCCCTAATTTAAAATGGGTCATGGAGGTAACAGTAACTAGGACGTAAATCACAATCTTCTCTCTGGCTTTAATTTAAATTTCTTTCTGAAAGTCAAAGGATACGAAGTCCCTAGTTTACATAGCTTTGGCAACTTAGAAGTAAGTTATCTAGGACTTCAAGTAAAAGAGTCCCCTGAATTCTTACTTAGGCAGCACTGTGGTAATCTATTTTGCAAACAGCTGTAGCTGTTTTTTGCAAAAAGCTGTAGCACTTAAGGCAGAATTCTACCTGTTCTTATACTAAGTTAACAAACTCACACTGCTGGTTACAGGGTTATTCATTTTAGCACAGCCTAATCAACTACAGCTAAGAATTAGGAAGATTAGCTTGAATAGTATAAATAAGTGCTTTGACCTATTCCTCAGGTTATTTTACCAGGAACAGATTAGGAAACAGCAGTACCACATCTTGGTACCTGCTCCTTGGGAATCAACAGCTGCTTCCAGTCTTCCCCAGCAGGTTCCCAACCTTTCTCCAGCACCTAACCGTTTTCTCCACTTGTTCCTCCTTCACGCAATTTTCTAAACAATCACCCTTTGACATCTGCAGCCTTTGCCTAAGCAAGCTCTTCCCTGAAATCCCCAACATAGTTCTCAGTTCCATCCTACGCCTACCCCCCAACTATTCTCTCCCAGATTCCTACAAGCTGGCTCCTTAACTAACATAGTTCCCAGGAGGGAGAGGATGCAGCAGGGTAGATGGCAGTCAGTAGTCATTTATTTTAAAGCTTCATTAATCCTCATGTAGGATTTATTACGCTGTCTTAGAAATGCTTACTTAATTGATGGCTGAGAAAGCCAAACTCTCTCTGAAGTGCTGATGAGTAACTATCTTAACTTATCTAGGTCCAGAAAGGAATGTCTATTCAGTGGTTGAGTTAAAACCCAAAGAATTAAAGTGATATGTAATCCCAGGGGGAGAGGAATTACAGGTTAATGGATGAGAATACAGAAGTCTCAGATATATTTCTTTTCTGAATGTCACTTAGTGGGAGAAAGTAAAAATTATTAAAAATGCATTTAATCAGCATAAATATTTCACCAGTAAAGAAGCAAAACCACATACACTATTCTTTACATGCTAAATGTAGAAAATGCCACTGGAAATATTTTGCAATAATTCAGCAGACTAACATTTCAGTAAATTAGTAGCTTCACTGTTAACCATTTATCACAAAAGTTCTTAGGGTTTCCCCCCATCCATTATAACAAGACCTTTCAGCTGGAAAATACTCAGAGCTGAAACTCAAAGTCTAAACCCATGGGCTTACAGTTGGCTCAAGCCAATCCGAAGGCTGCCAACAAAGGCACAGTCCAAACTTACACTGATGTTTTTTCTTTTTTTCTCTTAGTTTTCAGTTAAATCAACTTGCTAGTCTGACTCACTCTGTGACTGGCATCAATACTGGAGCTGATGCAATGGAAGTGGTGACATCACACCTTTTCAGCAGCAGCAAAGTCTTACACAGTCTTCAGCTCACCAGAAAAAATGCACTTTAAAAGGTATAAGGGCCAGAATACCATGCAAGTAAATTCTGTGGAAAGTTAGGAGAATTAAGACTCCTCCAGACTAGGCTGTGGCTATAGGACAGGACAATGTGTGACAGCATATTGAATGTTTCTGAGGCTTCCGCTGCCAGCTTTGCAGTGCCATGGGTGCATGACACAACATGCTGCTCCTGCTGGAAGACTCCTTGCCAATTCAATTTGTTCAAACAAAACTTTGACAGGTTAACTTTGCCCCAGCGGGATGACTGCTACAACAGGCATTGGTTGCCCACACAGCCCTAACCCTCTGCGGTTCCGGCACTGTGCGTTCTTCCCCTGCAAGCAGGATAAAAGCAGACAGGTGGCATAAAAGCCTCAAGAAGCACTCTGCTAATTTGACAAAAGTGTAATCATGTGCCCACACCTGATCCAGATCAAATTTGTACTGTTGGGTGATGTGGCATGGCCCAGAGCCAGTGGTAATGATTGTGGAACCACAGCGCTCAGCTAAGGCTTCTCCTGCAGATGAATTACCCGTACAGGAGACTGTAAACACAGAATGCGGCCTATTACTGTGGAAACAGCTTGTGCAGGCTCCCCAGAACATGCCCCAATCCGCACAAAAGACACAGAGTGTAATCTCTTGCCAAACCACCTTTCTTTCTACCCTCAGAGAGAGGGTGCTGGGTTGCCTCTGACTGAGAGCATTAAGCAGGGGAGGGAAAAAAAAAAAGAGGAAATTACATGTCTGAGGTTTTTCTTTCAGGCAAATCTCTTATAAAAATAAAGGAGTGTACAAATGTCTTTGTTTCCCTGCCAACTTTTATAAGAACCAATTAAGACCAAGGAGAGCTTCATTTTCCTGTTTATTTCAGACAGAGAACAGCTAATGAATTTAACCTATTGATGATTTTGCAGCTGCCTGCTTTAATTTGCTTATGATTGAGAAACAAAAAGTTAGTGTAACAGCAATGAGCGGCCAAAGCCGCCGAGCGGTCACTGAAGCAGGATCCAGCTGTATGATCAAACTTCAGCTAGGCAGCCGTGAGAACAGCTGTCCTTCCAAGCAAGAAATCAGCATTAGAATTATCGCCACTGCTTAGCAGTTGCTTATTTCCGAGTTGACTGATTCGTTCATAGTAAAGTCAATATAATCGTAAAGGCACAGAGTACTGGCATTTATTCCCTGCTAAAGAACATCATGCACTTTTCAACTTTACGATTTATCTATTGGTTGTAATAGAACATTCAGGCCACAAAATTCAGTGGTAATTGCTATTTATAAATGAAGAATTATGCTTTAACAGAAAACAGTCTTTAGGGGTAAATATTCACAGGCCTTAGCATAACTCCTATGTCTTAGTTCAGGCAAATCGATTACAAGGCATTTATTTTATCAAAGAGTCCTACCGACTTTATGGAAATCATACAGAATTCAACAGAGATTTTTATGACTGCTGTAAAACCTACAAGATAATTTTTTCATGTCCTTTTGATTGAGGTGAGATCCCAGCCCTCTACAAATCAGTGACAGAACTCATTGAGATTGACAGAAAATGAACACCCAATCATTCTCAGCTCTTATTTATAAATTTTTCCATAAACTTCTCTGCATGACTGGAGAACCTTATGGGTTTTGCTCACATTAAATTCTACAGTGTTTTGTGGTTTGGTTTTGTTTTCATTTTCCCCAAAAGTACTGGGAAGGATGATTCACTTCAGGGAAAGAGATGTACTTTATTTTCTTGCTTTCCTTAAAAACCAGCTCTTCAAACTTTAACATGTCATTTCAAAATAATATTTCAAAACAATTAACAAGTATTAGACAGGGATTCCCAAACTATGGTATCCTAGCAGCAGGCTACCTAAGCTACTTAGGAAGGCATGTGCAGTCCTTGGGAACCACTGCAGCAGCCAAGGTTAACCCTGTGTCAGCTCATGCATGAAGCTTTGTATAGTTCTAACAAATGGAAACAGGAATATTGAATAACAGCTAACTCTCCAAATTTGCACTGTTACGTGTTTATTCTATTCCAAAATCACAAACCTGGAGATGTGAGTCTTTTCCTGGGAAGCAGAGCAAAAACTGCCTCCTTACAGCAAGTAGAAATTGGCCACCAGCACCCTCTGGCTGGAATGTTGCAGGATTATAGCATGTGCATGGAGTTTATGCCATGGAAAGGGGAAATGATTTGCTGCAGTATGTATGCCGTATCAGAGCAGAACAGAATCCATATTATGTATTACTTGGTTACAGTCAGTATATGCTGCTACTGTTCATTCACATCACAATCTCTTCTTCTGGGGCTGAGCACCTGACTCTGTAATCTTTCATCATCAGCTTTTGATGTCACAATTCGTAATAGGCAATTTGCAACAACGGATTTCACCAATTCATCCTTTTCCTATTTGCATATTATTTAAAAATCACATGCAATTTATGTATGGTTACAAATTACATACAAAACAGTGTTTGTTCTTACATTTGATAAGTACCAATTATCAAATAAGTTTGCATGCTGAACATTTGTTCGTTTTCCCAAGTAGTGCTTAGAAAGATCTATTTCACCAGTTGTTTCCTCAAATGGACATTCATGTATATAAACATAATAAAGTGACAAGAAAACAAAAGTATATCTGAAAATCGAATTACATAGAAATTATGCTTTGAATTCATATGCTGTTTTATCTTGCAATAAACTAGTCACTTGTAATGCAAATGGTATTGACTTGCAGTGTATTAGTATTCATTCTGACTTCTCTAAAATAAAAGTCAATTCTCCCATTATCTGGGAATTGATTACCTTAGCTACAGATTCAAGGATGGGTAGTTTGCCCACAGATCATCCAGTTCAAGATGAGCAGTAATGTAAGCAATCTTTCATCAAATTCAGTTATTCGGGCCCATTAGCTCTCAAGTCTTCGTGCTCTGCAGTAAACTGTAAGGATCTTTCATTAGAGGCTTCACACTCACTTTGTCTTTTTTAGACAAATTACAGATACTGTAGAATGTTTTTTCTACTTATTTTGTGTAATCATGAATTGAGTGTACAAGTAGAACTTGCATACAACTCAGCAGATGTCATGGTTTTCCCTGGTTTTAGTTATTCCATAAAACATGCTGTCTTACAAGTTTTGAACAATTTGCAAACTAGTGTATTTATTCAAATTTTATACATTTTAGAATTAAATTACATGGTAAAGAATTATATTGATAAATATTCAAAGTCCAAGGTGAGATTAAACGTTATAAAGGCTGAGTATTTTCTTAGGCCTATACTTGTAAAAAGTAGTCTACAAACCTCTAGTCAAATAATTTAACCTAGAAAAGTGCTGACATGCTATTGATTTATGTAGATTTAACTGATGCTCTGACACATGACCAGAGGGTGTTCTCCTAATCCCAACTCAGCAAATCATGTAAGGACAAGCATAAAATTAAGTATATACTTTGTACTACTAATACTTTATGCCAATTTTTGCAGCTAATTCTGCTCTCCCTGTCTTGTATCATAAATATTATATATGTATTCCATGTTATATATTCCATATATCTGCTACATATTTCAATATATGTTACATATATACTTGAAAGAATATCTTGATGTGAGATCTTGAAACTAGATCTTCTAAAATGAGCCACTTTTTGTATTATATAGTATCTAATTAATCCATTACATAAACCTTTAATCCATTACATAAACTCACCATGGTGCTCCTGTTGCCTGTTATATATCTGCTGCTTGTACCCGCTGAACAGCTTGTCTGGTCCCACTTTCGGGGGGGGGGGGGTTAAGGTTAATTTTCTTCCAGCTTAATGCCCCAAACTCTCCTAGCTTACCCTAGAGCTGAGCATCAGTATTGGTAGGAGCAAACAGCCAGCAGGAGTGAGATGGAAGGGCATGGCCCCTCTGCACAGCAACATTTAACTTAGCACAGATGTATTTTAAACCCATATTTCCAGTGCACTCCACACCATTAAGAGGCTCAGCCTCTGTGCTTTAGTGCATGACTTCCTCCCTTCTCCCTCAGCTTTTAACCAAGAGACTTGTCTCTAATTACATGCAAAGCTGCTTTTAAGAAACTGATCGAAAAATGTTCTCCTAGTACTCAGACTGGCTTTTACCTGAACATAAAAGTCAGTTTATCAGAGTTAATCCTTTTAGTATGCACTTGTCTTACAAAGTATAATTTTCTTTCATTTGGTCAAGACAAAGGAATTCAGGAATTTCTGTAAGCTAACCCTCCCATTGCTTTGTTGCGGTTTTGTTGACATATTGGCAACATTCTGTCCAGTTTTAATTGGATTTAAGCACATAGAAATTTAGTGAGTTGTAAATCAGACAGGATTCCAGCTACCCTTTTGCTGTTTTTAAAAACAAAAGGCCTAGCAAAGAATAAACCTAAATAAGACCACAGGTAGTCTGTTGAAAGTAATGAAATCGTCTCGCTGCATTTGCTCAGGTAGTTAATGGAAAGGCCGACAGAATGACAGATGTTTTTCCAGACTTTCAAGGAGAAGTCATGCTAACGCTAACCCTGACACATTCTTTCCTTCACAAAGAAATGTCAGGATGCTACATGGTGGAAAAACATGAGTTGCTGCAAATAACTTAATCCTCTCACTTCTATTCAGCTGAATGGTATTACCTTCTACTGCTATAGGTTTTGATAGACGAGCAGTCCCACCGATTAGCTAAAAAGCAAGCACAGAAATATGAAACACCCGATTAATGTTTGATACAAGCTCAAATTTAATGGAGAAACTGAGGAGTATATTTGAGCATCTTTTGAAAAGGCAGAAAAAACAACTACTTGTAATATAATGGAGTGATTTAATTTGAATACAATTAGTATACATTTTTTACTGCTAATATAATCCTCTGAATATAATTGTTAATGCTAATTGTAGTTAATATTTATTTCAACTAACGCTTTTTGTGAGGGAATAATTGCACAAAATGGCACTTCGATAAAAATAAAACTGAATAGTAAAAAAGCTGAAGTGGAAGAGGAAGGTGGGTGTAAGAGAAAGACTGCTCAGTTCCGGCATGTAATCATTTAACTATCACATGTGCAAATGTTGTGAGTTACTCGAGTTCCCATTCTGATTTGCTTCCCCCACCAACAAGAAACTCTTGTTTACGTGTCCTTTTTGCTGCTAGATATTTTCCAATAATTTTAGCATATAGAAAAAAGAAACTATTCTACATGATCATACAAATGAGCTTCTACAGCAAAGGAGTGTGCTCATGTTTAATACAACTATATTAAAATGTTCTTTCTCTGAACAATTCTAGTGTTAAAGGTCTCATTTTTGAGCTTTAAACAACAAACTCCTTTCCTTCAGTTCTGGACAATACAACACAGTGAGATAAATAAAGTACTGTTGCTTCAACCTAGTTTTAATATTGTAAAGCACTTTACCACACACTAAACAGGCCAGTAAAGAATCAGATAGGACACCAGGAATCTTTTGCATCTAAATGCAACTTCCAAATCCAAACCTAACTCTCAGTCCTTAATTATGCAACTAACTGCTTAATTCTTTCAAAAATACAAGACAAAATTGCTTTAAAAAAATCTTGTTAAGAATGTGCTGAAAATTATCCTTTTATGTAAAGAAATCTTGAAAGAATGTGCAATTTTCATGAGATATTGGGGCAACATATAAAACATTAAAAAAAATTGCAAAACCAGATGAAAATAAACTACATTTTCTAAAGACAGAACAGGTGATGCTCTACAGCTTATCATGGACACTACCAGGTACTGTACACTGAACAGTATGTTGATAAATGATTCAGCTGACAAATGTGCAATGCATTTGTCATATCTGTTCACACGGGTCCAAACCCATTAACAACACAAAAAGCTGTGAATTTTCAGCTTCTAATAACACCATTAAACTTGTAAGCTGCACCTCTGAAACTGCACCTGGGGTTCACATATCCTCCCACTCTGATATTAAAAATATTCTGTGCATCAGCTGTTATTATGCATGTAAAAATGACACAAAGAGAAGCTTTCTCCACAGGCTTATGGTGACACCAACGCCCTTAGTAATTTTAACACTACTGTAGCATGAGGTTTTTTTGTCCAGACAACTGTTATCACTGAGAAAAACAGAACTTCAGTGGCTGAGACCCCTTAAGTTGTGCACACTCCAGCAAGAAAGAATAACAGCATAAGAAGAATCACCTTTTCAAAACTGTTACTCCCAATAATATCTTCAGTGGAGTTACAAAAAGCTGTCTTTGAACCGATATTGAACTTTTGACAGCCTGTAGCTATGTTCAGAACTGACTTTTGGTAGCCTGCTTCCACGGTCAGTCCCTATTCCTGGAGACCACAAACTGACAGTAAAACTCCCATCTTAAATAAAGCATAGAGAGGGATTCTTAGAGATGGAAGCAAAGAAAAACCAAAATCCTCTGGGATCACTCTTTTTAACTTTCTGCTCCACCTTGCTGGTTTTGGTGCAGAATTCACATGTCTCTGTTAGCCATGTCAGTTTAGTGAAACTGAAGTTATTACAAATACTGAAAATATTCTAAATAGTTTCAACACAATATTCAAAATACCAGGAATTGAAGCAAAAGCAAACAAGCAGTCTGCCCAAGCAAGTCCAACCAACTTAATCTGCTTCTCCAGCAGTGACAAAACCTGTAGCTAATGGGAACACAGTACACATGACATAGTTCGTCTTTGCTGATGCTGCCCTTCTACACAGTGCACCCTGACACTACCATAAACAAAATCACTTATCTTACTTCATCTCATCAACTTCACAGACACAATGTGAAATGTCCAAAATGAAGAGAAAATGTGCATTGTGTTCCTTCCCTTCAGTGAAGAGAAAGGCAACTTCAAAGAATAACTTGACTGGCCTGCCGTCTTTCCCTTAATTATTGAGTATGAAATCAGCTTTAGGCAACTACTCTTTAGGTTAAGCTTAAGTTAGGAAAGATGAACCTGGGCTACAGAGCAGATAAAGCTACTCCAATATGGGTGCAGAAATGATTAGAAACCATTCCCAGAGGAGTTAGCAAGGGATGACAGGATATATTCAGGTGTTATATTCAGGTGATATATTCAGACACCATTCTTCAGGTGTCTTCCAGATCTTGGACTCACTCAGTCATAAAATTTTCACTGTTGATCTGGTTGATTTTGAAAGCATCCTTATTAAATTGGCAGATGACAGACAGCCGAGAAAGACTGCAAGTATATTGAAGGACAGGACTAGTAATCAGTATTTACCAACTGAAAAAGAAAATGGGTTGAGGAAATCACAACACACTCAGGTAAAAGCAAATGCAAATTATCCCACTCAGGAAGGATGAACACAGTGAGAGGATAGCTAAAAGTTCTGCACAAATTGATCTGTGGGTGCAGGGAATGACAAACCAAACGGGAGTTAAAAATGTTGTATTGCCAAAAAATCCAAAGCCCGATCCAGACCCAGGGTAAGTCAGAGGGAAGGGACACACCAAACAGGGACAGGAGTATGCTTCAACTGGGCTACCAGATGTCTGGAAGTTCTGTGGAAATATACAATATTCACTCAGACAATAAATCTCAGCAGAAAAGAGGATGTATTTGGATATATGCTAGAGAAATAGCACATGCCAAAAATGATGTGTAAAAATGCAGTTGCTGAGGACATAACAAATGAAAAGACATTTTTCCTGTGTACAGAAATTACTGTGCCTTTCATACCATGTAACTTCTTCAGGCAAGAGAAAAAGCTAAACACTCTTGTCTTGATCATGTACCTGTAAAAATAAGTATTTTCTGTATTCTTAGGGTGTGTTCAAAGTACAAGCGTGCTATGCTTTTGGGGATCTGTATTTTTGTTTTTGTACAAGAACATGGGAAAAGCATCTCTTTTTGTTCAGACTGTTAAGCTCTGCCAGTGTTAGTTGCCTGTGCCCCAGTGGCACTCTGTGCTGTGTGATTAGCCCAGAAGAATGTCTGCTGGAGTACCCGTGTGATTTCATCCTCTTCTCATATGAACTAAGAAACCGATTCTGTTATCTTCCATCTCTCCAGTTTCACAAATGCCCTTCTTCATGATAAACCCAACCATCATTAATGTTTCTTCCTTGCTGGACAGCACCCTGAAAATTATAATGATGTGTACAAGACAGTAACTGTAAATGTGAAAAGAATAATTGAAACTTAACACTCTCTCAATGTGAAGAAACTCTAATGTGTAGTCTCTATTAAAGGCTGTATATGCCATGATTAAGAAGCTACACTAAACAGAGCTTATACAGGTCAACTGTGGCACTTCATGATGTCATATGATGCATTTAAGAAGTGCAGCACCATGGTGCTCGAACAACTCCATGGCTCAGAGGGAAAATAACATCATTCAAACAAAATGTTGTGAATAAACACCTTGGTGTTGCTATACCTCTGTAACAAACTAACTAAAAATCTCTGTCATGTGCTACAAGATCTTAACTTTTTCACTGTGAGGGTGATGAGACATGGGAACATGTTGCCCAGAAAAAGTTATTGCTGCCCCATCCCTGGCAGTGTTCAAGGCCAGGTTGCAAGGGGTTTTAAGCAGCCTGGACTAGTGGAAGGTGCCCCTGTCCATGGCAGACGGGTTGGAACTAGGTGACCCTGAAGGTCCCTTCCAACCCGAACCATTCTGTGATTCAATGATTCTATGGACTTGCAGCAAGACAAGACAGCAGACAGAAAAGGCAAGATGTAACATATTAAGCATGTATTATTTTTGTACACAAGCATATACAGGCACTTTTTTGGTGACTTATACCGTAATTGCAAGGCTTTGTCTATCATCCTGAGGTGGGATTATTCTTCATAAATTCATAAAAACAATTATCACCTGGCTAATATTACTAACTTCTGTATTTATTAAAAATAGTAATTTTTCCTGAAAGCAGAACACTTATGGAATCAGTCACTGCCTGGAAAATCTATGCCTATTTTGTAATAATGTATTTCAGATTCCTCACAGGTGTTTATGCAACATTAATTAGAGATCAAAGATAACTTGTTTATTAACAAAGGAAAACATTGGTTATGCTATTTTAGCTCAAAATGAGCACAAATATGACCTTAACGGTTTCAGCTTGTCAGTTGGAAAGTACACAGAGCTGATATGAACTGTAAAACACATTATCAATAATTTTTATTTATAGTTTGACCATATGGGTTTGAAATATACACTATGTATATTCAGTAAAAGTAGGAATATACTTTTTGCCTACCAAAAAAAACCCATGATATATTGTTCATAAAGTGAATTTTACATTGACTAGAGTAAAAATCCATCCTACCTGAGCACAGAAAACTCATCTGTTATTAGCAGGAAAGAACCAGAAGTAATTTTGAAAACATGAATGAGGGAGGGAAATCCTGACTCCAGTGAAGCTGGAGGAATTCTATCAGTAACTTAAATGTGCTGTTGATTTAATGTAAGCAGGCCAAATATAAGTACACTGCCGAAGAATGCAGAAGAAAACGTGACATACCTTAATTACTGAAAAAAGATGAGTATGTTATTTTACTTTGAATTATGGTGTGGTTATTATATTTTGAATTATTGCACATGTACATTATAAAGTCATACTGTGAATGCTTGTGACATTTTTATTTCAAGAAACGGGAGAAAAACAACTGAAGAAAGCTTTTAAGAGGCAGCAGTTGATCCAGTGTCCCCTCTCGTGTTCATATTTTCATGTCGTGGAGGCTATTTGCAAGGCAACGTGGGATTGCAGTTCTGCAAAAGAATGAGGTGCATTTGTGGCCTTCATTGCTCAAACAGCCACCAGTCCACATCCATAAAACTTCTTGCTTCTGTAACTAGTTCACAGATGAAAATCTTCCCTACAAACCACCTATTCCTTCCAAATGGGCTCTTCCAAAGCTGTGTCACTGCCTATAAATAACCATTATCATGTGAAATCCAAACCTTTCTGCCAGTAAGCAAGCACTTAGAACAATGTATTATGCAAACTTAAATAATATGAATCATTTTGCAAAATCTGATTTTTAAGTGGGTACAGGCACTTCATATATTACTCAAACAGAAACGTTCCTTTACCTATCTTGCTGTATTTAGAACTTTTTTTAATGACGAAGAAATAAAAGAGACGAAAGGATGGAAAAAAGCAGCTGCAGTGAGTGACAACGGGAGGCTTGGTCCTAAAAATCAAAGTTTAAAGTGTCCCAGGTAACGTGATGTACACAGCTATGGGCCACATCCCCTCATGAAATTTTCCTGCTTCTTGCAGCCCTTACCCTGGAGAATTATGGTTTGCCAAGAATCTAATTTTCTACCTCCACAAAGATTACACGGTGTTATTACCTCTTCAACTTGTGAAAATCCCACCCCTCCACGTTTTAGAACCTGAACAGCTATAATTCAAATGCAAATACAAATTCCTCCGTGTATAGCTTTTGCGAGACAATGCGTTTTAAGCAGTTATCTTCCCCCATTTGATTTTGAATAGCCATGCGTTCAGGGGCAAGCCGTTCAGGCGGGTGGGTGCCTGACTACAGAAGGTGGATCGCACCCCGGGGCAACCGCAGCCCCCCGGTCAAGGGGGCACAGCTGCGTGGACCCGAGAGCTGACGGAGAACGCGGGCAACCAGCCCCTCCACGGCCGCCTTCCCTCAACGGCTCCCGGCCCCCTCAGACCTCGCCCGCGTAGCGCCCGGCGTGGCACGTGCTCAGCCCATTGAGTGGGAAGAGGGAGGCAGGCAAGTGAAGGAGGAAGGTGCCGCCTCCGGCCCCGGGGCGGGCAGCACTGCGGGGCGGGGTGCACCACAACCGGCCCCCCTCAGCCGCCCCCCCACCCGCGCCTCCGGCATCGCCGCCGGCCGCCACCGAAGGCGCGAACAGGAGAGCGCATGCGCCTTCCGCGGCGCGCGGGGCCCGCTGGCGCCGCCGAGCCACCCTGCTGCGCACGGGCGGGAGGAAGGGGAGAGTGGGTAGTTACGTGATGACGCTCTGCGTGTCGCCAGTCGCGCGACCCACGCAGAGTCCGTCGGGCTTGTGCCTCCTCCTGGGCCAGTGCGCTCGGGGCTGTGCAGAGTGGGGGCGGGCGGGCGGGGCGAAGGCTTGCTTTCTCCCTCCCCCCCCTTCTCCTCCTCATCATCCTCCTCCTTCTTCTCCCTCTTCTTCCTCCTCCTCCTCTTCTTCTTCCCTCCTTCTCCTCCTCCTCTTTCTTCCTCCTTCTTCTTTCCCCTCCTCCCCGGGTCCTTTCTCCGAGGGCCCGACCCCTTTTCCCCGGCGGAGCAGGGCCGTGTAGCGGCGGCGTCTCCTCCGCCTCCTCCCGGCTGTGCCGGACAATAGGGGCGAGCGCGGCGTGTGTCTCACCCAAAGCGGCCCCCCCAGGCCGGCCTCAACTCCATGCGCGGCGCCGGGCAGCGGGGCTGACAGCGGCTCCCGCCGGCGGCAGCGAGGCCCGAGGGAGCGGCCCCGGACTCCGGGCCGGGACTCGCAGCCTCCGGCCCTTCCAGAGGCGTCCCGCTTTGCCGCCTCCCCCTTGCTCCCGGCGGCCCTTCCCGCCAGGCTTTGGCGGCTGCGGACAAAGGCCCGGGGCCCGGCGCGGCCCGGCCCGACCCCCCGGGGGGTGCGGGGTTGGTGAGGAGGCGCCGGGCCCCCGCGAGGTTTTGCCGCGGGCTCCCCCCCACCGCCCCGCTGCGGCGAGCCCTGCGCGGGCAGGTGCGGCGGCGGGCGAGGCCGCTGCCCTGCAGCGGGTCGGCGCACGGAGGCTTCTTCAATGGAAGTATGTTACCAGCTGCCGGTGCTGCCGCTGGACAGACCGGTGCCACAGCACGTCCTCAGCCGCAGAGGGGCCATCAGCTTCAGCTCCAGCTCCGCGCTCTTCGGCTGCCCCAACCCCCGGCAGCTCTCGCAGGTAGGTACCGCCACCGGGCCCGCCGGCTCCCTCCTCTTCACCGCAGCGGCAGGGTCTGAGTCCACTCAGCGTCCCGCTAGTCCCCTGCCCGGGAGAGCGTCTCCGGCTCCTGCTGGGCGCCAGGGCCTGCCTTTGGTGTCGGCAGGGAGCTGAAGTGCTGGGGGGGAGGGTGGGCTGGCGGTGGAGCTGCCCCCAGGGGCTCCCGCATTGCTGTGGCGGCGGCTGGGGCGAGCGAACGGCCTGCTTGTCGCTCCGGCCCCGCCGCCGGTCGCGGCTTCCCCGCGGCAGCGACGACGGCGAGAAAAATACAACGTTTTGTACGTTAATGGCTAGTTACTGTCGAGGCTGCCTTTTTAGCGAGCGGTAAACTCGCTGTTATTTCCAGAGACAGTGAATTATTTGCTTCTGTAATTTTTAAACGAGGGCTGTTTGCTAGCTTTTTAGCTTGGGCTTTCTCTGAAGGGTCTTAAGTTTCCTATGGGGCTGCCAAAAGCTGCAGTGACTTTACTGAAATAATGAACATGCACTGCAGTGTTTTATTTGGGATGCTAAGCTATTTCTCCCTCCAACTATAAAGACTTGCCAATCCGTCTAGAAAGAGACAAAGATCCTTGGCTTTTTCACTTCCATGGTATTGTTCCCTGCCCGTATTACATCAGTTACAAGATGAACTATACTGTATTTTGTTTTATCTGATCGTGTTGGAAATACTACAAATAGGGTCATTATAACTATTAGGACAAAAGGGAACTTTTTTTTCCCCTTATGAACACTGCCCTAAATTTCTGAATATGCATTACTATGATTTCCCAGCAAACAGTGATGAAATTATGTTCTGATGGAAGTCCCTAGAGAAAATGTGGAATTATGGTGGAAAGCATGTGTCTTGGTGCGAAGTCAGCTGGTTTGGGCTTCGAGGGTTTTTCTGTAGCGTCAGGATTGAAAGTGCTCTCTAGTATGTTGACCTAACAGAAGATGTTGCCTTTGCGCTTTGCATGTGTAATAGTCGTTTTTATTGTTTAAGTTTTTGGGGTATCTTACAAGTTATTCTTCTTTTCCATGGCTTGCTTCACTTCATATATGCACATATAGAAAGTACTGGTCTCTTTTGTCTTTGTCCCTCGTTTGGTAGCAGGGAAGCTCTGTGTGTGTGAGCATTAGGCATGTGTATGTTTGGGAAGGAAGAGTCGACAAAATACTGTTAATGACCAGAAATTTGAATGCATGTGAAAATAATTATTTGTAAGCAAATGAAGATGAGTGTATGCTGACAACTCTTCCTTCCTTCCTTCCTCGAGTATGAATATAAGGGTTGACCAAAACTTTGTTTTTATCATAAATTAATTTTCCACATAGCAAATGAGTTGGAATATTTTCTATTTGTACCACTTGATCTTGAGTTGTGCCTGGTGGTGGTGAATTTTCCATTCATATGTCTTCTTGAAAGTCCAGCCTAATGTAGCATGTTTTGTCCTGTGCATGTAAGAGTAAAGTCTCTCGTTTGAAGCATTTGTGGCCTTCTGGAAAAGGAATAGGCAAAATGGCAAGGTGATAGATTGTATTTATTCCTTTTCTGCGTGGTCTCTGGGGCAGGTGACACATGAAGTGTATACAAGTTTATCAAATTAAATATGGTATTGACATTTAAGGTTGTTTTTTTTTTTCAACTTTCGAGCTTCTCAATGGATTCCTTGTTTTGTGGTCAGTATGGTGCAGGTAGATTAGAATGAGTCACAGGGATAGGTGCTTGAATAACTTGTAAAAAAAGTGTAAAATGCATGCATGCGTACTTGACCAATAGTATTTCGTTGGAGTAACTAGAGAACCAAGTTTATGCATTAGTAAAAGGGAATTTGGATATTTACGTGAAGAAGTCTGTCTGTGCTAATATTGGCCAGCTGATTACAGCTATGTTTTGCTGCTTTTACCTTTTTTTTAACTTTCCTCCTGAAGTCTCCTGCAGACAATAGGTTGTGAATGTCTGCTGGACCTGCAGTCACAAGCTATTGTAAATGATGGACTAAGAAGCATGACCAGTGAGGTTAATGATTCTATGTAACTTCTGAACTTCACCTTACAAGTCTCCTCTAAGACTCCTAGTATTTCACTACTGTTACTGTTCAAAGGCATCTGAACCCTGACTAGTTGTTTTCAGTCTTCTGCTTGGGCTAGCTTTGAGCAAAAGGAGGTGTGTATTAGCAAACTCAAGAAGCTGGTATTTGTAGACAGCATTTTACAGTTAATACATATTGGGAAGATTTTCTTAAAAAATGTAAGGTCTTGAAAATTGAATTCCCACGTAGAGATTAAAAGTGAAATGGCTGAGGCAGAAGACATTTTAGGCTTATCCGTTCAGTGAGAAGTATTTTACATGGGAAATAAAGGTGAGACAAATGCATGCTACATTAAATACAGCAGTTAATTGTGACAATGCGTAGCAGGCAAATATTAATCTCTTCTAATATATTAGGTGGAATTTCAGTTTAATATTTCGTTAGTTTTACTAAATGGGTTCAAAATGGGATGCGTGTTGGGTTTTCTATGAAGCTTAAATGAAGTGGTACTGGAAATGACCTCAAGCTTCTCTCAGCCCCAGGAAGGATAAATTGTACTTGCAGTATTATTAGCAGATGTTTATCTAATCTGTTTTCTTAATCTGTTTTTAAGATACAGTCTTATGAGATGTGGTGAGCTGACATAACTCATTATTGCTGAAGGTGAAAAGTCCTGACACTGGGCATGTGTTACTACTACTTCCTTTATGCCATCTCTGATGCTTGTCAGGTGTTTACTAATTTAGTACTCTAAACCAGCAGAAAAGTAATGCAAGCAGGAAACTGAGTAGCTGTCTGCTATTTCTTAGAACAAAATAGACTTACTGAAGTTTGTCAGAACTGTTTTAAAGAAAAGGTTGGTACCACTAGGCTTTTGAAACTCATAAAAGCCTCAAATAATAGAAATTACACAATCTCACTAGATGACTTAACTGTTCTTAATAGTGCTTAACTGTTCTTGTCATAAGAGTTCTTTCCTAATACTGAATTTAGATCTTCCTTGTGGCAATTTATGCCTTTTACTATCCCCAGTAAATGTAGAGAAAAGCTTATTCCTTTTCTCTGTGCAGTTTTCTTTTATGTACGAGTTATTTCCCCATAGTTTTTTCTTTAATTTCCAAGTATTAACAACAAAAATAGTAAAAGTGACATGTTACCTGGAGGTTATTTGTGGTATTTATTGTTCAAGCCCAGTCAAGTGAAAAGCTGCTGTTGTATGAGTTTATGCAATTGTTTGAGATAGTAATTGTCTTTGAACATGGAATAATTTTAAATGCTAATGCTAAAAGCTGTCTTAAGGGCACTTGAATGGGTAACAAAATGACTAGGACATTTCACACTGATGAGGTTGAATTTAAGTTCACTGTATGATCAAGTGGATGTTAAGTAGTACCTTGGATCGTATGTTTAGGGTAATGCACATAGACATGTGTCGTGTACATGTAATCCTAGATTTGATTTAAAGAGGATGTATGGGTAAAAAAAGTCACGAAGAACAGCTACACTGGTGGATTCTTCAGTGAAAGGTAGACCCTTCCTCTGAAAATCTCTGAACCTCAACATAGGACAAGAGGTAATGGCCTCAAGCTGAGTCAGGGGAGGTTTAAATTGGATATAAGGAAAAATTTCTCGACAGAGAGGGTGATCAGGCATTAGAACAGGCTCCCCAGGGAAGTGGTGGAATCACCACCGTCCCTGGAAGTGTTCAAAACCCGTGTAAATGAGGCCCTCAGTGATACGGTTTAGTGGTGGACTTAATTGGCAGATCTTAAAGGTCTTTTTCAAACTAGTTGATTCTATGAATCTATAAACGAAGTGCTTTGACCACCTTTTGCTATGTAACTCCTCAGTGTTTTTCACCCAATGCAATCCAAACATGTTTCTCTCTGCATGTAGCATTACAGGTTACAAGACGTAATTGAGAGGTGTATTTTTATGGTCTGAGCATAGGCATTGGTCCATGTGAATCCCATGGTTGGACCTTTTTGCTGGGAGATGTGTTGGCATGACCTATTTTCTCCTTGCAGCTGCTCATTTCTGCTCCTGCATTTTCGTCTTAGTTGTGACAACTTCTTTCTTCTCTCTTTTTGATCAGGTTATTTTCCAGTCCTGACTGACTACAGAACAGTTTCACAAATGGTTGTGCCTGTTAGTAAGGAGGAAGCAGTACACCACAATGGTAGACCAGGAGTAACGAGCAGTGGGGAGACAAGAAATACCTTAGGTTGCCCCTGCTATTGAATATAGAAACTTACCCTAAACCCTTTTCTTTCCTCATCCACTGTTTTTCATAACTCTTCTATACCTTTCTAATTCTCTCCATCAGTGTTATTCACTTGCTTGCTCTTCTGTTAGCTTTCTCCTGCCATTTCCCATATCTCTGCTGCATGAATAATTAACAAGTTAAAATAATGAAATAGTTTTCATGCAGTGATTCCTAGCCTCTGGAATTAATTCTGTGTGTTGCTGCTATGCTTGCCATTCCCTTCATCTTGTATTTATTGTGTCTGGTTGCTGAGATTGCATCTATTCATATGAGAGGCAGAGACTGACTCTGACTACGCACAGCACGGGCAAGTTCTGATTGGGGATTTCATGCATACAGTAATTTTAAGTGGTAGTTCATTTTTAAAATGCTCTCTGACTTTTATGACCAATTAACTTTTTCATATGTTGTAGTGTAAAGCAACTTTGGTACTTGCATTCTACAAAAGGTCATAGCAGCTTATTTCATGGCCTATAATTGCCTATGTAAGATCTAAGCAGAATAATAGTTTAAAGTCCCCATTAATTAGATTGTCTTAAATCTCCAGAAGTCAATTCTTCTTTGTTCAGATTGTGTAATAGTATGTTTTGTGCTTTGTATGAACCTCAATTTTCTGATGCTATCTTTAAAGAGAAATTGGTTTGAAAAGAGAAATTATAGCTATGTGCCCCATAAGTTGTGAAATACTGAATTT